AATATTGGAGTTTTTTAAAAAAGGTTTGAATTATCTAGGGCTAATAATAATTAAAAAATCCCCATTTATTTTAGAAATATAGTGTTTGGATGGTTGATGGGGTCATTGTATTGTGGATTTTCAATAGGACCAATGATTGCAGGATGGATAAGTCAAGCTACTGGTAATATTATGTCAGTATTTTACGTTTGTCTAGCAACTTACACACTACTTTTCTTATTTACTCTATTGCTTCTACCGGAGTCTTTATCGATTGATAAACAAATGGAAAGTCGAATCAAACAAATGAATGATGAAAATAATAATAAGAATAGTAATGATAATCATAATATTACAAAGAGATCATTGATGGCTTTAAAAAAGGTTATGGATTTTTTAAATATTATAAAACAGCTTTCCATATTTTTACCAGCATCAAAAAACAATAGAAATAATGAAGAAAGTAAAGTGTTAGGAAGATATGCATTATTAAATTCAGCAATAATAACTTTTTTTACATCCTTTGCAATTTATGGAATACAAGCAGTGTTCTTATTATATATATCGTTAGTATTTAAACTATCAGTGGTTGAACAAGGTTATCTTTTATTTGTTATCGGTGGAGCAAGAGTTGTTATATTGATGTTCCTATTTCCCATGTTATTGAATTATCTCAAAAAGGCAAAAATAAATAAAAATAATAAGACTAGAAATAGTAATAATAATAATAATAGATTGGAGGATTTAATAGAAGAAGAGAGCGAAGAAAGTAAATTACGATTAAAAGGAGAATTGTTGAAATTAGAAATTTGGGTAATTAGAATTGGATTATTTATTGAAGCTGCTTGTATGACTTTATATGGAATAATAAGTAGTGGCGTTGCATTAATAGGAGGTAAATCTTGATAATAATTTTATATGTGTGTGTTATATTAATAACCATCCATTGACTTGCATTCATAATCTCATATTCATCATTATTATTTTTAGTGGCAGTGACTGCATCATTAGGATCAACAGCATTTCCAACTTTGAAATCATTTCAAACAAATTTAGTTCCTTCTTCCAAAGTTGGAGAATTATTAGGAGCATTAGCAACTATTGAATCTGTAGCTGCAATTGCATCACCAATATGTTTTAATACGTTGTATAGTATATTTGTCACCGGATCTTCTCCATATTTTATATGGTATTTTATTGGTGGTATGTTTTATGTTGGTTTTTTTTTAACATTCGCAATTAGATTTACGGATGGCATTAATAATAAAAACGGAGAAGAAGGAGGAATAGGATATGAAATTAGTGACGGAGAATATGTTGATGATGATGACATTAATGTGTAATTTCTGATGGTGTGATCTCTGTTGTCAATGGTATCAAGGGTGATACATTATAATAACCATTAGTGTCATTGATGTAATAGATGGACCCGTGGTTAATTGGTACTGGTTAGAATATGATTGATTAATGAAGATGATTTATTATTTATAAAGACTTATTGTAATTATAAAAATTTATTGTATTATTATAATGTATTTTTATTATAAAATTTATCAATGTATTTTTATTTCTTTTTTTGTATATTTATAATAATAATAAAAATAATTGTATAATCATGTGGTCTTTTTGTTTAATTATGTATCACACACATATAATCTTAATATTAAACTTTAACCATCGTCATAAGTCGATCATGTGATCAATTATAAACATCCATCCAAAAAGCATAATTAACATTGAAAAAAGGTATTGTTAATTGTTGAATGGATGGATGAATGGATGGATGAATGAATTAAATGAAAGAAATGAAAGGATGAATAAAAATACAAGTGATTGAGATACGAGTATTAGGGATAGTTGACGTTGATAGGAGAAATAAAGAGTTAAAGATTTGGTAGATTTGGAAGTGACGTAATAAATTACGAATAAATGAATTTTTATTTTTAATTTTGACTGTACAATATAAATATATGATGAATGATTGACAGATTTTTTAGTTTGTTAAAGTCTATAAAATATTAATATAAATTATAAATAAATAAATAAATAAATAAATAAATAAATAAATAAAAAAATATATATGACAAATAACGACACCATCTGACTCATTCATTTTACTTCCTGGATTATAATATAAATTTCTTTATTTATTATTCTCCAACTTAAAGACGACAGATTATATTGTAGATACCTTTTTGTTTCTTCCTCTCTCTCTTCCTCGATCTCTCAATCTCTCAATCTCTCAATCTCTCAATCTCTCAATCTTCCAATCTCCCAATCTCTCTTCTATATCTTACTAACAACAATTAACGAAAAGTCATAATTCTTTGATAGTTTATGTTATCATCTCTAAAATTTATATAATTAATTAAAATAAAAGTAAAAATAAATTATAAATTATGATTTAATATATTGTAAATCTTAATTGTGTGTATGATGTATGTATCAATATAATTTGTATAATTCATTTTAATAAAAATAGAAAGTAATAACAAAAATCTTAAAAAATGTGACTGGCTTTATTTATTTGGGTCATTTTAAACCGTCTCAACTGACCAACAACTAACTAATTATTATTATATCCATATTGCATAATGATAGTTAACTATTGCAAAATAATATACAAATAAATATATTTTTAAAGATTATTTAAAAACACCACCTTTTTCATTTTTTTTATAATTAATTTTCTTCTCCAAAAAAAAATCAAGAATCTTTAATTTTTTTTTCCTTGCTAATTAATATTTTTCTAATTTTTTTTTGCTTTTTCCTGTTTTATCTTACTTTACAATTCAAAACTTTAAAATATAATTAATTAATTAAATAATTTTTTGTTTTTATTTTTTTATTTATCCCAAAAAAGATTTATCATAAAAAATCGAACGATGTTTATCTAAATTTTTTTGTATTAAAAGGACTGCAAGACCTTTTCTTTCTCTTTTTCAAGGTTTACAAAAGTTTGTTTATTAATAGTTATTATTAATCATAATTATTAAATTAACAACAAAAACGTGGATTTTTCAAGGTAAACTTTTTTATAATAAATATATTATATTATTATATAATATACAATGATATATCAATATTTATTGTTTCAAATTATTCTGATTTTTACTAATTAAATTATAATTATGTATGTAATAAACATATATATATAAACACCTCCTTTTCCTCCTTTCATCCTACCTTTCTCTTTCTCTCTTTAATTTGCTAAAATGCACGCATAAATATATAGTTTAAAACCATGAAGCGTCGAAAATCGCTAAAGATTTAAATTAATTAATTAAATAATAACATAAGATTGTCTTGTAGAAAAAGACAATTAGAATACATCAGTAAAAAAAAAGACTTTTAAAAACAATTTTTTCTAAAGGGAGAACCCACTTTTTTTAATTTCGTAGTAAATTTTTTAAAATTTATTTTCACACACCACAAAAAAAACAATAATAAATAATAATAATAATAAACACCAATTCATACATTTGTTTGTACGCACATAACACACAACCTTTCTCATTATATTTTTCATAATATTTTTCACAATACCACTGCACGACACAAATTCCTTATTCCCTATCTATCTTACTTTTATTATTCTGTTACACGGACCTTCGTTACTCTAAACTACAGAATTAATCCAGATTAGTCATTATTTATCACTATATATTATTACCAATTCAACGTATACGCAGCAACTTAATTATATAGCATTCAATTAACAACAGCGGATTATTACATTATTACCACACGTCTACAATTACTACAACTAAACTAAATTAACTGAACACCAACAACATAAAAAAAAATATATATTCACGGACTTTAATCAATTTTCCGAACGATAACAAGGTGTAACAAAAATAAATATACTGAAAGAAATATTTAACTACGGAAAAAAACAAAAGAGAATTTCCTTTATTTTTATTTTTTAACTGTGCCGATTTACTTTCAAAAAAAAAATATATATATATAAATAAGATTTCTTTCCTTTTTTTTTTAAAAAAAAATTTAAAAAACTCAATTTTAATAATTTAAAAATATTCAAATACAAACGCCTTTTTATTATTATTTAAAATGACACCAATACTATCAACAATATATTCAACATTTAAATCATCAACAACACCAAATATAATATCATCAATAAACACAAAAATGTCATCAACAATACATCAATGCGATGAAATGTCTTATATATACGAAACAACTTTACAAAAATTTAACAACTATCATGAACGAGAGAAAAGTTTAAGGAAGTTCGTGTTGCTTCGTAATTTTTACACAAATCAATTCTTAATTCCGCCACCATTGAATAATAATCAACAACAGCAACAAGAAGAATATAATAATAATAATAATTTTGTGGAATATTTTAATGAAAAACTTGAATGGTCAGAAGACGATATAAAGAAAGAAGAAGAAACTTGGTTGGATGCTTGTTTAGATAATGCTAGTTTAGACGAATACGATGATGGTTATGTTTATGTAATTAAACCTAATGATGGCGATCAACAAATAATCGGTGAAGTTGGAGGTGTTGTAGTGGCAGGAGAAAAAGAAGAAAAAGAACCAATAATTAACTATAGAGATGAAATAATAATACCTAATGATCTATTTTTAGAAGAATCCAAGATTAATAGTAATATTAACAGTAAAATTGGCAATAATAATATCATTAGTAATAACAATAATATTTCTGATCAAGAATTTCATCCATATTGGAAAGATAATAGTATAATACGACCAAAATCAGCATCTCTACCACCTTCTATTGATCATTATCGTCCATTTTTCGATCAAAAATCATCATCAGATAATGTTAGTAATAGTAACAATAATGCAGATGCTGTTCTATTCTCCACCAAAAGATTTATTAGATCATGGAATGTTATCGGATATTATTAGTATGTTGGAATGGTACGGTGGAAAGAAAAATGATTCATCTAATAACAATGGTAACAACAATGATCCTAATAACAAAAACACGACAACTACAGCCACAGAATGTGTTAATACATCTATCAATGCAAATAATTGGTTTGTAGAGTGTGAAAAATGTTAACAATTTACACTATTAATTACTAAATCGAAAAAAAAAATAACATTTGCTTGTGAAAAAAATATTTTTATATTTTATACAAAAAGACTTTTTTTTTTCTTTTTTTTCTTTTTTCTTTAAATATAAAAGATATATTACAATATTACACTACACACATAAACACACATATATACTATTTTTATAAATCTATGAGTGCGTACATATACATATATACATATATACATATATATTATTTACTTTTTTTTTTTTTTTCTGGACGATTTATATTATTATTTTACGAAAAATATTATGCAAAAAAACAAATTTTCTAAGATTTAATAATATATTTACACGTATTAATATTATTATTTGTTATATATTATGTAAATAATGTAAATAAAATAAATAATAATAATAATAATAATAATAATAAAGATTTTTTTACAAGCAAAACTTTTTTCGTATATTTCAATTATCAGTTGCAAATCAAAACAACGTGAACGTTGAACTTTTGAATTGGTCCATTATTATACAGCGGTAAATAAAGTAGTGAATAAAAACTCACAGGCTGAAAACTACTGATCAGATAAAGGATAATCTTTAAATAGATAACTCGGCGCCTCCAGATTATGCAACGTTATATTTGTTTATTAGGAAGAGAAAACCTGCCGGTTCTTTTGTTAATTAAAATATAAATCAATAAGTTTCCACATGGTAAAAATCATTAATCATTATAATATAAAAAAGTTTTGATCAAAGTAGAGTAATAAAAGAATTTTTTTATTTAATGTTTTTCAAGCAAGTTTTTTTCAAGATATATATATATATTCATTAATGAGTTAGAATTAATATTTTATCTTAAAAGAAAAAAAGAAAAAAAAAGCAACATCATCCATCCATTCGTTCAATTTGTTCGTTAATCATTGTTGCTGTTTTTCGACCATATCATTAACAACACGAAGACTATAATTCAAAACATTTTTTAATAAACGTTTGTATAAAAATCATCAACTAATTAATATCTTGTTAAAATTTAATTTTTACCTATCTGCCATAGTCATTGCTTTGTCGGTACGAGTCTATGTAATTTGATTAATAATAATAATAGTTGTTATAATAGTAAAATTATTAATTAATTGCATGTAAGAAGTAAAAAAGCCTTTTACATTAATTCTAATGTTACAATCAATTCTTGGTACACCAAGTTCGTGAATTTTGTCGATACAATCTCTAATTGCATTCATAACTTGCTCCCATTTTCCCTCTAATTTTAAATAAATATTATTATTATATAATTGTATAAAAATAATGTGTGTATGGATATGTACCGATATTTGTTCCACTACAATGCATACTATAGTTCAAACTAAACGAAATCAAAAGGTTAACGTTAAAATTATTTAATAAATTATATAATAATGATTTTATTTATTATTATTATTTCTTACTTGGTTTTTTTCAATATTTTCTGAATTTCGGCCATGTACTTGATAACGAATATTGTTGTTATTATTCGAAATAATAATAATTATATTATTTCATATTACTAACAAATATTTACCTTAGTAGTATTGACTTCTGTTCCCATAGGAACAATGCTAAAATCAGCAAGAACATGACAAGCTTGAGTAGTTGAAGGCATTTTTTTGAAAAAATTAAATCCTTTTTTTGTTATTATTTATTTTTTTGGTGAGAAAGTTTTTCTATATATAAATATTTAGTATATAATAATGATGTCAGAGAATATTAAATAAATCGCTACTTTTTTTCTCGAAAATTCTCACAAATGACTATTCGTAATACAAGTAAACTCGATAAGCCGGTGAGCTCATATGACCTAGTTATGAATGGGGTGAAAATTTTGGCAGACTTATCGAGTGATCGACCTTTAATTCGAATTAAAAATTTATTAGTATTAGTATTAGTATTAGTTATAAAAAATTTACTCGAATAGAAGCCCAAATGACAAGTCCATTTAGTGGATCACGTGAAACTAATCTTATACTTGAAGACAACAAAACCAAACATGGTGAACATTATACTACAAAGGATTTCAACATCATCATTATTAACAATTTTATAATGCCCCATTTGTTATCTTTGTTTTTTTTAAAGTGGTATATAGAGCTATTCTTGTATTATAAAATCAATTAATATGAAACTAATTTACATCAGATCTACTATGAAACCAAATAGTTATAGTATTATTAGAGACATTTTGAAAAAGGAACAAGGCGAGAAATCTAATTCCTATATTTTCAAATTAAGTGATACTCGGATGCTTGAAAATTATCCAATGAAAGAGAAAATGAAATTTACCAGGAAAAATGAAAAATTATAACCATTAACATTAAAAGAATATCAACACAAAGTTACGAAGAACCTAGAAAGAAAAGAAAATGGGAAGAGGAATAATTTACTTTTTTTTGCCAGAGCTCGTAGGAGTAGCAGACATGTGCAACTAGTGAAAAATCTCTCGTTTTTCAAAACCTAATTTTTTGGAGGAATTTTTTATTTTTCCACATTATTTCTTTTTTCCACGTGATAAACATGTGTATAATAAAAATTTTTGTTTATTTTACATTTTAAGAAAAGCATTGTTTTATTATTATTTTCAACGATTTCTAATTGGCATTAGTATCGTTTTTTGTTATTATATGCTAACACTAAAAAATGTATTTTTAATGGCGGCGAAGAGGACCCGAATCATCATGATTGAAACATTCTAGCTATTAGTAAACTTTACCTTTTAAGCATGTAACATTTTTTCCCCTAAAAGCTTTACCTATGGAACTTCAGATGTAACCATTGAAAATCGGCAATAATAATAAATATTCCCACCAACATTTATTATTATTATTATTTGCTGAGCAAAAATTTTATTTATTTTTAATTAAAGAGTTGTTAGTTGTTACATGAATAATAATAATAATAAAATGCATATACAGTGTATTGATAAATTTAATATTAAAGATTAAGGCCTAGTCCCACTTGAGAAATAAATAGTTGTAAAGATGGGAAACTTCAATAATGTTCTTCGCCTTTATTGATAGATGTAAATGGAAATAATTTGTGCATAATGAAAAAAATGATGATAATAAAAATATAATAATAATGCATAGCATATGACCACGGACAAAGGCAAAATGCCAATTTGGCTAATAAAAAAATCGAAGAATCTCAAATATTAATTTGCATAACAAATAAAAACATTCATTTTTGTATTACATAAATATTTACATGAATTGTTACTGCGAAAAAGGCTCACTGTCATCCTCTGTTAAAATCTTGTTTGTAAACTTTATAAGTCGGACGCAGCAATCAATTGTTTAAAGTACTTGATCATATAAATAAATACCGAATATATTACCAAGAATTACACAATTTTATAACCGTCCATCAGTTATCTTTGCTTTTTTCTTAAGTGTATATAAATAATTAACATGAATTCATTTACATCAGATCTGTAGCCCAAGAATTATAGTACTATCAAAAGCATTTTAAAAAAGGAACAAGGTGAGAAAATTTCTCCTTATGTTTTCAAAATAAATGATGCTCATACACATACACTGGAAGCATATCTAAGAAATGAAAGGTTTACCTATGAAATTTACCAACAAGAAAGAAAAACCATAATCAGTAAAAGAATTTTACTACAAAACCATGAAAAATTTAGAAAGAAAATTGGAACTTAACACAGATGAGCATGTTTTTGTTATCTTTTAAAGGTTAAAGATGTTAAAAATATATTTGGTAAAAAAGAATTAGTGCGAGTTGGTTTGGTTTACTTCAATTATTTGCTCTTGTTTCTTTTTAGGTGAATATTCTTGCTTGTCTTTTTTGTAAACTGTTGTAGTTTATCTTTTTCCTTGTCAATGCTGGTAAATGCTTTGCTGGCTAAATATAGTTTTTGTTTTTAGTTGCTGAATTTCTTGGGCTTGTTGACTTATCTCAACTGTTTCTAATTGCTCTAATTTCTCAGCTAATTGTCTTTCTCTTCATTCTTGGCTACTTCTAAGGCTTCAAGGCGAGTTTCAGCATCTACTCTTTGCCTTTTTAGTTTTTCAATCTCATCAATTGGTGCAACTGTTATGTCTCCAACTTCTATTTCTTTGTTTGATCTACCTTTGTTGATTTCTTTGATGAGTGTATTATGTTTTTTAACTTTCACAAAGCAACATCTTTACTTCGTTTACCAACAGTGGAATATGGTATTTTTTTGTAAACTTCTTGATATAATGGTAAAAATTATGAATAAAAAATTATGGAAGATAGGTATTTAAAAAATATATGATTGCAAGAGATAAAATATTTGTTTATTAATAATTATTATAATGAAATTACAATGATTAAAATGATTAAAAACAGATTTATAAGAATATTGTTATATGGTTATATCATATTTATATTTAAAATGACAATGCACTTAATTCCTTTATCTGCTAAAGAAAGATTTCATTAATAACCAAACACTAAAAAATAATAAAAATAATAATAATAATAGCCTATATTTTCTGTTATGTATATAGTAATTATAAATATTACATTACACAATTATAAATAAATAAAAAATTAAATCACAGAATTTATTTTCATTATTTATATCATATATTTTCTTAATATTAATACTAAAAATGTGCTCAACATACATTAATTCCTTATTTTTTTTTCTAAAGCAGTGTTGTAATAGTAAAAATTGACGTGTTTCACAAAAATTTTACATAGCTATGTCAATCGCGTGAAATCTTGTCTGACTGCTATATAGTAAAAAAAAATGAATGAAGGTATTTTTTTCTTACACAGAAAATAACTATTTTAAAAATATGTAGGATTTTTACATCATAATTTAATATTTTGCTTTATAATAAAATAATACTTAGCTAAATTCTTTAAAGGTAAATAAATATTTTACAACACAAAATAAACATCATCTAATTAAATAATTTGTTTTTTTATTTCTTTATAATAACCAGGGGGTAAGTATTATTTTGAAGTTTATGGTAAGAGAGCATCAAAGGAATCAA